AACATCTGCAAGACACAGACTCCTTATTATCATTGACTTCATAACTCCTACTTTAACCCCATAAGAGTAGTGGAGAAAAAATGCAAAAGGAAACGTGGGTTTCCTATACATATCTCGACCTAATCTAGCCCCCTCTTTGGTAACTAGGACATCAAGACAAGTCAAACCATATTTTCTTTGCCATGTTGCCAAATAGCAAAGTAGTCGCGCATATAGCGTACTAATAATTTAGGAACTAAAAGTGTCTCCTGAATTAAACGTTTCACAAATTAAGCCATAAGACAAACACGATCCCTAGCTGAACCTCGTATTTAGTCGTACAGTTTACCATTAAAGGTAAAATATGTACAGTACATCGCTAGGTTGATCATTATTATTATTGAATCTTTACATAGCTTCGTACTTCTTAAAATCTCCGCATGTTGGTCTAGTGTGGATTGCAGGGCCTGTATGGCATCATCTAGGGGGATGTTAGTGTACATAGACTCAACATCGCAACTTACCAGCAAATCCCAACTTTTTATCTCCTGCACTTTGATTAAGTTAATGAATTCCTAAGTATTCTTAACTGAGACCTTTCACGTCTCGAAGATTTGTTTTAACTGGCTACAAATAAATCGTGATGATTTATACATCATTTCTTCCTTATTATTCACAATAATTCTAAGTGTCATTCCATCTTTATGTATTTTGGAAGGCCTACCTAGTGAAATGTACATTGTACTGTGTCCTCTGCTATAGTATTAGTGACTTTCAGCATCGGACCATTAACTTGATACACTGCCAAACGTTTCACCGACATCGTAGTCGTCGTCGTCACTGAGAGCTACCATCATAGTCACGGAGTTACAACTAAGCAAAGTGACAAGTAAAGACCAATTTTCTGTTCAAGCTTTGTGGAATTACTCGTCTCCCCTATTTTTTGTTCTTCCTTCTAGTGATGCATCTCTTTCTTTCAACCCCTCTTCATATGGCCAATCTACCTATTTATACAATTCTGTTTTCTTGTTTCCCCCAATGTCGCCTAAATGTGTGTCGCTACAAATGGATTTAGTGAAGCGTAATAATTTTTACTACAGGTTCCATACGCCGTTTGCAGAGCTTTTGACCTTTATTCAGCTCTCTCTTCTTTTATCCTGCTTGCCAATTTCTCGTTGCTGAGCTCCAAAATCACTGTCTGACTCGAAGATATGAAGACAAAGATGAAGTGGCCCTCGGTATGGCCGAAGTCTCCTTTAGATGTATAGAAGTTGGTTAACCTCGTTTCCACAACTTGATCATGTTGTCAGAGGGACTTAGTTGGATGCACCTTGTTAGAAGTCCTCTTTTACAGTAGTAATCATAATTACCGGCATCAGACCGTGGACTTGGTACATTCTCAAATGTTTCGCCGGCTTCATACTCGAGATCATCAGTGAGTCTTCCATTCTGAACACCAAACTGCAACTTGTCTAAGCTTATTCTTTTTGATGTCCACCCAGGTAGTTCGGGAAAATATCAATGACTTCCCTCTTCCAATCTCATGTTCATCTGGTTTCTTTGAAAGAGTATCTCAATAGTATCCATGATTTTTCATTTTCTGATTTTCTCCCCATATGAGGTCAGTCTTTCCCTTGACCCAAGTCAATCATGTAGCCGGTGAGGGCGATTTGTCGAGCTATCTTCGATATTTCCGTATCTATCTTTAAGCGTCGTCGCCGGTGTTCTTTGATCCTCCTGCGAATTTGCTTAGAAGCTGCAGTTAATACTAGTGAACTGGAACATTCGTTCAATCTTGAAGGAAAAGAGAACCCTTTTCACCAGCGAAGCAGTCAACATAACGGAGTGCCCGGAGTTTACAGCATGGACTGCAAGGACTGTAAACAAAATTTCATTGGAGAGATGAGAATTGCAATCAGCACAATCAGCACTAAATCAGCGACTATGCTGAAAAATGGATACGGAAAGATCGGAGATAGTGAGACCGGCCACACGAGTGACTGGAGTCCAACACAAAGAATGGCCTCAAACACCACAACGATTGGACAGAAAATTGGTCAAGTGGATTACCTTTACATATCACCTTGATAAGTTGTAACTCTATGCTTAAGAGGACACCTCTTACTGACGATACTCACTACGATGCCGGCGATACATTTGGGGAAGTCCTAAGTCAATGGTCCGATGCTGGTAATTTCGAATGCTATGACAGAATACACATGACTGGGTACGCTCCGCAAAATCTCCCTGACGCTGCGGCCACGCGAGGTCGAATCAACACTATAAAGCTAGAGCAGACTGCGGTCACAGCATCATATCAACGAAAATTATTTATAATTATTTAGTATTCGTCAAGCATGACATAAATAATTGTTGGCTTCTGCACACCTCGACAGATTAAACTATCAGTAAGGATCATATATTTTACCTTAAACAGAAATAT